AATTTGACAGCATTCTTCTTGAATTGTGGACACCAACTTGTGATGCAGTATTCCTACAGTAACGTGCCCCTGCATGTGGAGAAGTGAGGTAGTCTCACGAATCCTGCATGATAGCTCTTGTTACCTGTTCCAGAATTGTGTGATTTTGGGAGTTGTCATTCCACTGATTTTTCTCCAAGACCTTCATTCTTTCCCGAAGTAATGGCCTACTAGAACAGAGTCCTCCATTTTTAGGTGTTCTGCATTTTATTGTTGTTATGTCCATAACTAGGCGTACAGAGGTTTGGACGTAATGAGGCTGATGTTGTTTGCTTTTAATCAGTTTAATAAATGATGCCTAAATTGTTATCAGTGACTTGACTTTTCTTCTTGTGTCTTTTCTAAATGCTATTAATAATTATTTTCTCTATTACTACATTTCATTGAAAAAAAGTCAGGCAGACAACAGTTAGTCCATGAGGTTGCCCATTAGAAGCCCATACACTCATATCTTGCTTTACTTTGCACGTTGAATTCTATCAGTCACTTAGCTGTTAAGCTATTTGATAACTATCTTTGTGGGGTTACTTAATAAAAAATTTTGCCTTACAGGATTGTGTCACACAACCAGTTTATCTAACTTTACTAGAGTGATATTTTCATTATTAGCAAGCCCAGAAGAAAATCTTCAGAAGTTTGAGAAGTTCTATTTTTCTTAAACTCATATTGAAGCAATTATTACAATACGATGCCGGTGTTATAACAGCCATCAGTTTATAGTAGTGTCCTTTAATTTTGTGTTAATGGAGCTCAAAATCAATCATTCATTTGTTTTTCCCAGAATTTATATAAAACTCACTGAAGTGGGTTTGATATCGGTAAAAAGTGTAAAAAGTGCTCCCATGTACTTTCTTAAGAGTATCACTGCATGTTAGATTTCTCTCGCTTCTCTGGGATTTTGTGTCTGTTCCAAACTTTCTGGAAACCTCTATTAGTAGACCTGACATCTTAGCCAGATCATCTTACCCTCCCCCCGGTAACTGCTCCACCAGTTGCCAGATCAACTGTGGGTTATTCAAATCCAAAGATTTAACTTGCCGAATTTTCATGCGTCCTCCTTGATTAATACCAAAATACATTCACAACAACATCCACTGTATGATAGAAATATTTGTTGGACATGGCTACCTTTTCTGTGTTATCACTGATAATCTGAGCATTTCCACTTCTTTATTTTAATGTAGAGGGAAATCCAGGAGTGAACACCAGATCGTCTAGTTTAGCCTTCTGAACATCATAAATATCATTCCAATTCCTTCAGAAGTATGCAAAGTAAATAAGGCAGGGCAAATAATTTTTGGCAATGTTATACAGTGAGCTGGTGCTGATGCAGGTATCCACGATCAGCTGTACATATGTCTCTCAGCCATTGCTTCCCTGCGCAGAACACCCCAGCCTTTTGCAGGCTTGGAGAGGGAAAGTGAATAAACCATCGTATGAAGGCATTTAAATCGAGTTTAAAGACCAACTTCTATAATGAAATGTGGACTGGGAAAACGTAATTTGTTTGTGTTTACATGTTCCTATTGGAATAATTTTTCCCTATTGGAAACTTTTGTCTGTCAATCCCCAGCTATTTAAAACCGCAACAACAATAACCAGTTGTTGCTTTCTTGTGTCCCTCAGTATTTATCCTAGCTTTTGTTAGAGACAATACAGTGGTATTCATGGGTAACAATAAGACTGTTATCTTTCACTGTGGGTTTTTTTTCAAAGCTATACAATGTTCTAGCCATTATAGAAGAATTGCAGTCAGCTGAGTGATGTTTACGTGCCACTTCCATACCCTAATAAGAGGTATAAAAGAAAGCGTATTGTATCCAGCAGGGGAGAGAATCAGCTTGGAAGGTTGGGACTTCTGCCACATGTAGAAACCTCGCTGGGGAAGATAGCACTGTGCTGCCTGGTGTGCTTTTATTTTTGGCCTCTGCTTCAGTTACATGAGTGTCAGTAGTAGTTGCTGCAAACTGCTTATTCATGCTACTGCTGTGATCATTTGCTTTTGGGCAATATTAATTTTGTGGCTATGCTAAGTTAGGAAACCATTTACTATCAATGGCGTGGCTGTCTTGCTTGCCTTGACAGCGGTTTGTCTCATCCACATGATGGGGCTGTTCTTTATTCCTGTAAAAGCATATCCAGACACCTACGGGAGTGGGATCAGCACTTTTTCTGAAAGCTGGATCTTTCCAGCATTTTCTAGCATGGTACCTCACACAGTTACGTACTGAAGGTGGCAGGCATTTCTGATGCATTGCGTGAACATTCATGCCTTTCTCTGTTCCGGTTCATTCAGCTGGGCTCTTCCACTCTTTGTGGTGATAGCTAATTTCACAAGACTCAGGGAAGTTGTATGGCTGCCCAAGGTCATCACAAAGGAATGAAGATCCGGAGCTTGCAAATATGTGGGCTGAGTCTGAGGGTGTGTTTTTGGCACTGCTGTTGGGCAGAGCAGAGATTCCACCACATTTCTGCTTCCCAAACACCGCATTCTTGACTTTTGACACTTTGGCTTCGAAGAACTGTAAGTGTTGTCTGGATTCGTGGGAGGTTGAGACAAGGAGTGAGAGAGAGCAGGAATCCCAGTAATTAAGACTTGCTCCTTGGGACAAGAAGTGAAGTCCATACCTTAGTTTGGATATGGGTGGAGTAGGATTCCTCTTTCCATAGCCAACTGGAGAAGCATCTTCATATCTCTGCTCCTCCTGGTGTCTTAGAAAGTAACGAGGCAGGAGGAAGATCTGAGATGTGCTAACAGTTACTCACTTCCCAGCAATAAGACTCAAGTGCTAAATTATTCAGTTTATTAGTCAAATGCTCTTTCATAGTCTTAAGCATTCTTGATAAAATAAAGGTGTTTTGATTGAACAGTACAGCTTGTGGCCACAGGTATTATTCTTAACTATATGTAGATGGCTTTTGGTGTTTCTTCCCATGATTGCACTGTTACTGTTTGTATAATTTACCATGAAGCTCTGTTAGTTGTCAACAGACTGCATAGATCGCTGGTTGAGGCTCTTGCCTCAACTCAGCTGAAGCTGAGTGGTTAATCGAGTGGTTAATCAAGTGGTATGGCAAATGCCAGTCTTTCTGATTAAAAGATCTTGTCTCAGTGCAGTGCCCATTCAGGATGAGGTCTTAGTCTGGAGTTAGGAAGAATTTCTGCTCTATGATCCTATTTGTGTGGTACGATTTTGGGATTCAGTGATATATGTGTCTGAGAGAGTTTGAAAAGGGACTTTATCCTGGTTCTTATCCATGTTTATCAATTCTGAGGGGATTTTTTTCTCTGCAGTAATATGTTTGTCTTCAGGAGATGAGAAAAATTAGGTTCACTGTCCTCTAAGACACTGGAGTTTGGTCACAGCTGGAGACAGGATGTTGAGTAGGAGGAGTTGGTGCCCTTAGCCATCTCCAAATCTCTTATGAGCTTGGTTAGCGTACCTTGTCCCTGCATACAGGTTTAAACTCCATCACAAACTAGGCTCGGAATCTATCTCTGTGTGAGGTCCTCAGAGGCTTCTGGTTCTTTGTCTTCCTCTGTAGTGTAGAGCATGCTGGCTTAGGCTCACCTGGAAAATCCACCTAGTAAATTCCCTCACACTGCAGATGTGTAGGTGATGACTTTTATTTTTCTTGCAGCCATTGTATTTATAGCTTATGGTATTTTTTCCTGGCTATTTGAGGGAACTTTGTATAAACTATTACCAAATTGAAACATCAAAATGCGAGAACTAGGAAAGAATGGCAGTTTTATGTTGTCAGGCTGCACATGCAGAATACTGCATTCTGGCACTTGTTGGATGTGGACAAACCCATTTTCTTTGAGATTTATGAAGCAGTGAAGCTCCACTTTGGTGTGTGGTTGCTCTTGGAAATATTGCTAAGTTAACAGAGAAGTGCAAGTAGTGCTTTGTGAGGTGTGTCTGGGACTTGCTTCCCCACTGCATGCTGTCTGTGGTGGCCACAGAGATGTTTAGATTGAAAAGTTCACTGGTGCGCTAATGTGCAGGTGCTGGCGAGCTAGTAAGTACTGAGGATGCTTCTGGTGCACATATTTTTAATAACTGTTTTTCTTTAAAACCAGTAAGTGAGGAAGAAGTTGTCCCATATTGCTGCCAAGCCGTTAAAATGAACAATTTTTTCCCTTCTGTGGTAATCATCAGAGACCTTGCTGTACTCTTTTCTTTATAAAATCTTAGGTTGCACATACACCTACAGTTGCTGTTGTCACCTTCTGCCTCTGTAAAGCTGAGTGTTGACTGCAGGTGCTCCCAGAAGTCTGAAGACAAAATAAAAATGCCAAGTAATTGGTACCCCCGACTCTTAATTCAATGTGTCTTGTGCTGCAGAACATAAACAAAATGAAAGGGAAGATCTTCAGAGAGCTGCATGCAAATTTTGACTGGCTGTGGTTTTGGAAGTAAAGGAACAAGGAGACACAGAGAATGCTTTTTAAGCTGTTCTATCAAATGTCATATCTCTGTTTTAATATTTCATGTGATATGGCTTCTTTCAGATGATCAGCTGGATTATCTGAGATCAGAGAAAAGGGAGTGATACTACTCAGCTGCAGAAAATAGGAAGAAAGTACTGCCATGGCAGGGTAGGGCACAGACACACTGACTGCAGAGCATTGGCTTTGTAGAACTTGTTTCAATATCTGCATCTTACAGATAGCCAGTAAGAATTCCTGAGGTGGAGGTATTTTAGTTATAATCAATATTTTTAAAAGAAACTTCAAGGAAGTTTATACAACAGTATTTTAGAATTCTTCCTGTGAGATTTGTTAGATAAGACCATTAGATGTTCCTTTTCTAGACAATTTCACTGTTTGTATGCTTACTGATTATAACAGAAAGACCTAATAAATTATTTATTTATGTTAAACAGCTTGCTTTTCAAACAAAGGAAATTAGCCACAACTCTTAATTTCTTATATTTTTATCTTTCTCTTGAAGGGCAACACTTTAAGGAAAATACTCCTATATCGCTACTTTAAAGGAGAACATGGAAGTGGTATGAATGGGCCTCTGTCTGCCAGCTACAGCAAAACTGCACAAGTGGGAGGTAAATCAACACAGATCATTTAAAAAGAACAAAATTAGTAGCACCATTTTTTCTAATAGGCACTTTGGAAGTGCTCCAGGGATTCAGTTGGTAAATAAATCCAACACGCTCTGTAACCCGTTAAAAGAGAGGTAGTACCAGACTTCTATTTATAAGTTGCACGGACTTGTCTCAGATGGCTGGTGTGCATTTGGTGGTACTGAAGGTGGGACTTTCCCCATGCCCCCCAGTCAATCATTCCATTCAAGTCCAATTGGTAACACAGTTTTGATTTGCAAGTAAATCCACATGCAGAAATTCAGCAGAGCATAAAACATTTGAACAAAGGTGCTGCTGTTTCTGGAAACTAAAAAATGTTTTGAAATTCCAGATTCTTTATTGATACATGAAAAAAACAAGACATAAGGAGAAGCTTCTCACAAAAATACTGGTTAGGTAATGAAACAGATTTCCCCAAGAGACTGCAGAACGTGACAGTTCTCGTTACAGCTTTACTGGACAAACTGATGAACCTGCTCTAACTACCATGAGCAGAAAGTTTGAGTGGATGGTCTCTGTACGTCCCTTATAACCTAATTTTTTGGTATGGTTCTGTTATAGAAGCAATGTGAAGTTATTGTAGAGTGGTTTTTAAGAAAACACAAAGTAATGTATATCATAGAAAATGGGACAGAAGCTACATATGGAGCCAAGTCAAAATGCTTGCCATTGCATTTTCGGTATGTAGTAAAGGTGTGCCCAGATTTGTCATAATTTCTAAATGTTATTCAACTGATCCTTCTTGACTGTTTCAATGTAGACACTGGAAATGTTTACAGTCTTAATATTCTGTATACCAACTTATGCTCCTTAACAAACAGGAGAGTAAAGAGTTACTATTTTTTTTAGTTCTCTTTAAAAAGTGTGTATGTGTGTATGGCTTCATCACAAGGTCTGAACCATTATAATCAGTTTAATGAAAGCAGTACTGACTGATTAAAGCAGTACTATATTTTTTCTAATTAACCAAATGCAGTTACATCTGTATAAAAGTAAGTATAACAGGAAAGATTATAATCTATGATAATAAAATACAGTTAATCTAATGAGATAATACATTTTAACACAATTCCTTAAAATCACACCTTTTATTTGTATTAACTCAAGTCTCTTTCTTAAAGAACATCATTGTGATATTAATGGTCTGTGAGTTATATTGGCAAAAGCATTCAGCTAGGAGGTCATACCTGTAACCAGAGTGGATTTACCATTGTACAATATTTGTATAGATTAGGCCTGAGGTTGAAAAGCAGATATAAAAGTCGTCTCAGAACACTGATCATACATACTGTTTAGTGTATGCAGCAGTGGAATTAAAAAAGGGGGTCAGTGGACAGATCAGTGGCATTTCCAATTTCTTTATTGTCTGAATTTTAGGACAGAGCAATGATTTGGGGTTTTTTTTTACTTCTTATTCTTAGAGGCCAACATTACAGTTTCACACAAAAATCTTGTTTATATCAAGGGGAACTTTACCCGAAACAGAATTTTGAATTTAGATTTATTACATTGCTACTGTGTGCATAAGACAAATTATTATTACTAATAGATTCATTTTCATATACCTGTATAAAACAAATGTGAATGGTGTGTATTTGCCTAATTTGCAGGTGGATTTTCAGGACAAGACTCAGATAAGTCTGGGGTAACCATGTCTGATATTCAGTGCCTTCTGGATAAAGAAGGTGCATCAGAATTAGTCATAGATGTCATAGTAAACACCAAAAATGACAGAATTTTCTCAGAAGGCATTTTGCTTGGTATTGCGTTGCTTGAAGGTGGAAATACGCAAACACAGGTACTTATTTTGTTTACTTATTCACATATTGATTTTCAAATGCCTGTAGTCTAGAGACAAATAAAAAGAACATTTTTTCTGTAAGTTCTGTGAAAAGTTTATTACTGTGTCGCTGTAGTACAAATGTAAATATGCCCTTTTCTTATGCAGTATCTCATAGTGTAAAGTCTTTGAAAGAAGAATACATTTTTCAGCTGTCCCTTTCTGTGTAGCACAGTGCTTCTTTTAATCTGGTCTTTGCCATATGAGTGTTATCTCCAGTTATTTCATATCTCTCTTTTTGTAAAATTAAAAATTGTAATACTTTCAAGTTTTTAATAGCAGTAAAATTAAGTGATTTTGTGGAAACAATTAGGGACATTTCTCAAAATCTCCAAAGAGAGGAAAACTGGCCATTTGAGAAGACCAATATCCCAGTCTATAAAAAATAACTGCTTTAAACGATGAATTCTAGTTTTTGTGAATAATATCCCTCTCACTGAACTTTAGCCAAATAAAATGATTGTTTGTTCTTACTCTATGATCAGCAGAGTTATCATAAGAGAGGAGAGATGGTATGAATCACTCCCCCTGCATTTTCCTGTATTTCATCATTACCTGTGAAGGGAGCCTAAATAACCAACTTATACCTCATTGCAAGAATATAGAAGTTAAATAAGAGGAATCTCATTGTGTATCTTCATTCTGTAAAAAAGATCTGTGACCCTTAAAGAACGTTCAGAAAATGTTAAAGAAGTGAGATTTTGTTGCAGCTTTCTAAAATGAATTGTTAGGGGCTGTAGAAAGCTTGTGCTTTAAGGTAGGGTTTGTAAACTGTTGAAAATGGCACTCAGACTGCTTGACAGTAAGTAATACTGAGAGATTGGATTTAATAACCTAAAATATTAATTCCAATTCTGTGTGAAGCACAAAAAAGAAATATAATCTAAGCAACAGTATTACCCGTTAGGTGTTTTATGCTTCGTCTTGTTGTTACATAATAACAATTACTTTTCACTGTTATTTGTAGATGGAATGTTATAACTCCAGAATGCCTGGAGAAATGGAGACTGTCACAAAGTAATTTAACTTCAAGTGTAATATTGTGACATTTTAAACATTGCAAATAGTAGTGTTCACCATTTTATCCAAATTTTAAAATGTTATCATCAATCTTTGTTAGCATCCTTGTATATCACTTTGTGAAAGAACTGGTCAGGCAGTGGCCAACATTTGTTCTGTGTAAGTGAAGTAATTATTCATCATTTGTTTCACAAAAAATAGTACATTTTTGGATTTCTTCTTCCTTAGAAATTTGATACCTAAAGAATATATTTTTTGCAGTACTCAACTTACCAGCAACTGAAGGAGCAAAAAAAGTCAGAAAAATTCTTTAAAGTCCTGTATGACCACATGAAAGCTGCTCAGCAGGAGATACGATCGACAGTGACAGTGAACACTATTGATTTGGGAAGCAAAAAGAAAGATGATGATAGTGACCTAACCGTATCTGTTCCCAAAAAGAGAGGTAAGGAAGCACCCATGTGAAAGACGGGAGACGTGCATTATATTCAAACCATATGTACTGCACCACTCGTACTATGCTGTGTTGATCAGTAAGCTATAACATTAATCATTGCTAATTCACATCTTTTGCCCATTTTTCTGTAAATTATAGGCCATCTCTTAAGCTGGATACAAGGAATTAGCTTTGATGAAATCAGTGAAACTATGCCAATTTATACCAGTAAAAGATATAGAACCATATTTTTAGAGAAGCAGAAGTAGAGGCTGCTGCTAATGGGGCTATTTCACAAGAGCAAGCGCAGGCACTGATTTCCCACCCTGTGGTCCTTCCATTGTTCTCATCATTTATTGTATATGGGAGAGAAATAGCAGAGCTTTTTGTCTTAATGTTCTATTTCACTCTGGTTTGTGGTTTATTTGGAACATGTTATCCCTGCATGAGTGTTGCTTTGATATTCTTTGTAAGTTGCCTAGAGGTCTTCTAAAAGTTAGGCACCAGCAAAGAAAAAGTTGCATTCATTATTATTGTTTTCTTATTGTTTAATCAAATGAGGAGAAAGAGTTTCAAAAATGAAGGCAAATTATCTTCTTTTCAGTAAAGGATTCAACCCTGCATCTGAAAGAGGGTATGAAAGGACAGTTAACAGAAGCATCTTCTGCAACGTCCAAGGCTTACTCTGTGTATCGAAGAGAAATGGACCCAGAAATAGATCTTATGAGCTCAGGAGCAGATGCTGCGAATGCAGAAGAGAAGTCCACAGAAGAAGCAATCATGAGCCCTGCCATTGCGATCATGCAACCAATATTGAGATTTCTTCAGCTGCTGTGTGAGAACCACAACCGAGAGCTCCAGGTAAAGTGTTTTTATGCTGAGCACCAAAAGAAGTATTACAGGAGCTGGAACTTCATAAGGGAAGAAAAACGCCTGTGCCAGGCTCCTGTTACAGAATAGGGGTGTCTAAAATGTTTTTTGTCTTTTGACCCAAGGGATAAAATAACCCTTTGAAAGAACCCCTTGCCTGCTCTAGTTGAGCTCATGTTTATGTCCTCAGAATTGCTTGGGGTCTGCAGCATAGGCACGTGGAGTGAGAATCCCTGTTAGAATGGTTTCTGTGCACAGATGGTGGATCACTTACCACGGGCTTGAAGACCACAGGAAGTTTATGGGCTAAGTTTGGGTACTGGTCTTTTCCCTAGGTGTTATGATTGAAGGCTTTAAGATGCTACTTGTGTCCCTGCTGTCAGTCCCTCTGCTAGAAATTACTGTCCTCATAGCAACCTTTGCAAAATGAATTTTCTGCAAATATACCTCAGTGCGGTGTCCAGAAGCCTCCCCTAAAGCCGTGTTGGGGCTGGTTTGAGCTAAGCTACCGTTCTCCGCTGACACTGCCAAGAAGCAGTCGTAATGTCCCACCATACCTGCTCAGCTGTGGGGCAACAAGTTGAAGAGTTGTTAATAGGTGGATGGGCGCAGGTGTGCAAAGCTTATGTAAAACACTTAAGGCCAGTGCAGATGTTTGCAAAGTTCGCTTTCCTAAGCCCTCCTTTCTCTTCTGATTTAATCAGATAATGGTTCTCAAGTGTTGCGCTAAGGCATAATGTATTTTCTACAGTGTAATGTACTTGAGTACCTACAGTACAGTGGTCATATGGTCATAAATCCTTCCCTTTAATATTTTCATGAAAAAGACTGCATGTTTGACTTGACTCTAATTCTCTTGGGGTTTTTTGTTGTTGTTTTTATTTTGTTCCTTTTTTATATCCACCAGAATTTTTTAAGACATCAGAACAATAAAACAAATTACAACCTTGTTTGTGAGACCCTTCAGTTTTTGGACTGTATCTGTGGAAGCACGACAGGTGGACTGGGCTTGCTGGGACTTTACATCAATGAGAAGAATGTGGCTCTTGTGAACCAGACACTGGAAAGCTTGACTGAATATTGCCAAGGTCCATGCCATGAAAATCAGGTAGGGCTCATATAACTTGTGGATGCAGAAGAATATGCCTGAACGTATTGTATCTGAGTGCTTATCATAAACCTTTTGGTGTCCTTAATAACGTAAACTCATTTGTAATTGCTATGACTAGGCTTAACACACTTCAAGCTTTCATAAGGCCTGAGCAGTCCTTTTAAGTCAGAACTCAGTGTAATCTCTTCCTGTAGTATGTCTGCTTATGTGGAGGGTTTCCAGTCCTTTTGGAAAGTTTAATGTCTTATGTCAGTGGGTCCCCATGGCTTAAACCTAGAGTTAAACCTAATCCTAGACCTGGATTTTGAGTCACAGTTGTGGAAGTACATTGCATACATAGTCTTGTTTTCTTAATTTTCATACGTTTTGCCTTTGCTGATGTTTATATAGGTTGCTAGCATTTACTTTCCTAATTCACATAAGTACCATAAAGTTTAACTTATTATCCTGCTATGCTACCTATCAGCATCTTTAGTTATGATAACAGTAGTGAAATGGATGAGACTGAAGAGTGTGGTTCTAATCTTCTGTGCCTTGCTCGATGCAGTCTTTTTAACTCGTATAGCTGTGACTTTTGATAGATATCTCTTTAGTGCCATGCTGAGGCAGTATAGAAAGGTAAAGAATATAGTTACATGCTGCTATGTTTGGTCTTAAGAGAACTGTAGTAAAGTTGTCACAGTGGATGAAAGTTCAGGATTTTTATTGTGGATTAGAAATGGGAAAATTGTGGTGGGCGAAATTACAGAGGCAATCTATTCTTGATACTAGAAATAGCTGAAGAAATGCATGCAGTATTAATGATACTTCATTAAGATGCACAAATGAAGTGGAAAGTACTTCTATTGCCATTGCTGGTAATCAACAGCCTTTACTTAATACTTTAAAAACAAACAAGCAAAAATCCTTTAGTGGACTAAATTTTAAACAGTGATATTTGTTTCACTAATGCATGGGAGTAATATCTGTTAAAAAAGAGTAATTACAGGACTGGAGATGAAAATAAAAACTAAACCTATGTTTAAGTTAACTTGTTCTCCAATAAGTTTACTTGAGTGACACTGATAATGGCAGGGAGTTATTAGTTACACTTAATTATGTAGACCTGCCTGCTGGGAAGTCACTCAGGATTTGCGTTATACTTGTTTACATCAGCTGCAAGTCTGATTTAGTGTATTTCAGAGGCAAATGCTCCATGCTCTCATTTTCATTTTTCCTTTCTCTCTGTCTTTTTTGGAAAACTTTTCCTATCCTATTTGTCATACAAACCTGTTAGAAATCTTAAGTATTGTAGATTGGTATAACTGACACTTATTCACAAGGCTTGGAAGGTCTGGGAGCTCCAGTGTAAAAGCATTTGGGAAGTGCTGTTGGTCATAATGACAGTTTTGAATTCCATGGCTGGAAATGTCCTTTTGGGCAGGACATGTCCAGATGTAGAAAACAGTTCATGCTAGAACAGCAATATTAATGCTGATTGCTGAACGCAAACTAAGAATTCCAGTGTGCAGATTTGATTATGCCTGCATTCAAGTATGTCTCTGCCCGTGCGTTCAGCTAAATTTGGCAGTGCTCCTGTGGGCTGCTGTCTCTAACATGAACCTCTTGGTGCCAAATCCTGCATGATTCACTGCAAGCTTGCACCACCTTTTTTTCCAGTTGTGTACTTCCCTACAGGCAGTGTTTGGCTTAGTTCTGTACTACACGAGTCTCCCCCAGTGCCTTTTGTGACATGTTTTCAGGCTGCTCTGCTTTGACTGGGTGGTTCATTGCTGTTATAAGGTCTTTCAAGTACTTTACAAGTTCCTTGTTTTGGAAATTTGCTTATG